TGGATGGGTTTTACGCCTATTATTTCCAAAAGCCTACCTATGGCCTCAAAATCTCCCCCAACCAGACACCAGAACCCCTCCCCAAAAAAGATCGCCGGCGCTTCGCGCCCGAAAACATCTCCCTTTGTGGGTGCTGTTTTGTCTTTTTCTCCGCAGGTGATGCTGGCCGCGCAGCTGGGGTGCCGCCTGCGGGTCTTGGAGCTGGTGTTTTTGGGCAAAAGCCCGGGGCGTTTTGGCAGCGGAAAAGAGATGGAGGGTCCTCAAGGGGGGGGGGCGGTGGCTGAAGTTGCTAGGGCCTGTCTTTTTCTTTTTTTTTCCTTTTCTTTTGCCCCAACCTCGGCAAAAGCATACATGGTTTGTTTTTTGGTTTGCCAGGATCCCCAAAATTCCGCCCAAAGTTCCAGCCCCAGGCCCTGGCCCGGCCTGGAGAAGACCGCGGACGCCGGCTGCTTCTTCGGCTGGGAGAAGGCGGACGGGAAGCGGCCCCAGCGGGCCGTGAAGAGCGAGAAGCCCGAGGGCGCGGAGAAGGGGGCCATGTACCTGCAGCCGCCCGGACTTTTTGTTGGAAGGGAAAAGCCACGTTGGGGGGGGGGGGGGAGGGGGGGGGCTTTTTGTCGGAGGATGTCGGAAGGGAAAAGCCAAAGCCACGGTGGGCTGGGTTTTGGCGGTCTTTTGTTTCGGAGTTTTTGGGGTTTGCTTTTTTGGGTGTCTTGTGTTTTAACGCGTTGTCGCGTGCTTCGTTTGTTGCTGTTCCATTTTTTTTTGCTCCTCCGTGGTTCTGGATTCGCTTGGGTATTTGAGCAGGTTCTGTTTGTTTCTCTGGCCCCACCAACTCACGGCATAGAGTGGCTTTGGTGGTCGGCCTGCAGGCTGGGCTGGCTGGATGGAGTGGGAGTGTACCGGAAGAACTCGGTGCAGGCCGGAGCGATATGCGAGGGAGACCATTTGGGTGGGGGTCAAAAATAGGTACCCAAAACGGAACCCTGGTAAATGGAAAACAAAACTAAAACCTGCTGTCTCCTGGGTGGCTTAATTTTGAGCCATGCCCATTTGTCATACTTCATCCAAGAGATCCAAAGGTCTCGAAAGGTTCGTGTGGGTGGCAGGGAATTTTCTTGGCACATTAATCCGCGTAGCCATCATGTATCTGGCAGAATCAGGGGGAACCCAATCGACCCTTCTAGTATCCCCTGCTGGCCTGTCCCGTTCTGGATTCACGTGGAGGCCTGCATTCCTTGAATTCGGGATCCCGTTACCTGTGGATGGTTCAGTCCGGTGTTGTTCCAACTCATTCCCTGAGAGCCAGCAAGTTTAGTCAAGTTTAGTCAGTGGCCAACGCCCCTCGCCCCAAGCCCAACCCCTCACCCGGCCCCCCCCCCCCCCCGCCCAAGGAGGCTCCTTAACAGATGCATAATAACATAGAAGACACAAACGCGACATGCACAAGGGAATCCATTCCTAAATCAACTGGAATCTGGGTATTGGCTAGATGTATTCTTGAAGGGACCCTGGCGACCGGTCAAATTGCCATGGTTTATCTCACGGCATACCCTTAAAATATAATTTCCCTTCCAACCGACATTGTTTTTCTAACTTCCCCCCGCCCCCCCCAAAACAAAACCAAAAAAACACAAAAAGAGCAACCAAACACACACACACACACACACACACCAAACAGGGCGCCAGGTCAGGGCGCACCCTCTAACCCAAGAGGTTTTTCTCCGGGGGACACCGGGGCTCGCTTCGTTTTTTTCTCCCGCCACGCGCCTGGGCCTCGGTTGATCGAGGCCTCGGTGCTCTCCTGGGAGGCGCCCCTCACGGTGAGGGCCTTCGACCACCTGCCGCTGAGAGCGCTGATGTCGGCGCCTGGGCACCGTTTTAGGTTAGGATTTGTGCCGTGCTCTTCTTTTTTTCTTCTTCTTTGTTTTTTTCGCGTTAAACAACATGAAAAAAGCCCTCGGAGTGAAGCTTTGCGGGAGGTTTTGGCTCAAGTGCCCATTGCCTGGTCATTTTATTCTGCCATGGGCTTGGCTTGCTGGGTGGGCCTTGCGGGTCGCCCACACGCACATGCGCACTACCATTTAGACATTAGCACACCATTTTAGCTTGAAGGACCCAGTTTAATGGTCGTGTTGTCCCATTTTCGAGGCGGTCCTGCGCTTTGGGGCAAGCCCCCCCCCTTATACAAAGAACGGGAACTTGATATATTTAGTCCAGACCAAGACCTCCGGAACCCTGCAGGTTCCATTTTGTGGGAGGTGTCCCTAAACGGAGGGGACAAGGGGCGGGACCGGTAGCACAAAGGGTTGAAATAGTGGGGGTGCTGAGTAAGTGGTTAGCATCCAAGGTTCTAACCAGGGGTTCGGCACACTTTTTTTTTTGTTTAACAGCCAGATCCTTTTTGGAGGTTTGGAAGCACACTAAACAGGAACCCGCCCATTTGAGGGGCTCCGATTCTTGTCCCGGAGTTTTTTTTTTTTTTTGGGGGGGGGGGTTCAACCAGAAAAGTCCTTCGCTTGTCGTGTCTTTCTTTGAGGCTGGGAGAGTTTTCGGGGAGGTGCTAGACTTGGTAGATATGACCTCCCTCCCAAGACTCAACCATGTCCAATCCCACAAATGCAGAGCTATTCGCCCTCCCTCACATGGAAGCCGACAGATTCAAGGAACAAGTGCCTGGCAGGAGTTTCCAGCAGCACGGTGGGATCATGGCCAGTTCTGCCAGTCTTTGTTTCGGGCTCAAACCTTGGAGCCAAGGTTCGCGTGTGAGCTCAGAGTGGGCTACACCTTTCGCGCATGCCAAAGTGCGTGCGCCACGAGTGCCTGGCGGACGCCCGCTCGGCGACGGAGGAGTAGCGGTGCACCAGTTGGCAAGGTGTGGGTCATCCCAGTATCCATAGGGTTTTGTTTCATAGGGTTGTGTCGATCTTACCTCTTGGCTGCTCTTGGGTTGGATCTTTAGACATTAATTGTTTGGGAAATGAAGGGTTTTCCACTAAAGCCGCAAAAAGTGAAGAACTTTTTGCAGAGGGATCAACAGCAACCAAGACCTGGGCTGGGTCTTTTTGTCCATCCACAGATGTCCTACTCAAGCGCTGCCCCACCAGACTCCAATGCGTGTGCCGGTTTGGAAGTGCTCGGGAGGCCGGCCTTCCGAGTGTTTCCGGCGTGGGGCGTGGAGTTGCCTGCAACCGTAACATGGTTGTCGTTGGGAAACATTTTACATTGTTGCTTATTGTGGTTTAGTGGGAAAAATCCAACCACTGAACTGCCAAGCTCTATTTTTTTGCTCCCCTTCCAACGTCAACCAAGGAACAAGGAAATTACCCCTGAACCAAGCCACCGATTTGGCTCCAAACCACCAATGAGGGGAAGCTGAGTTATGGTTTACAAGGATTAGTTCTCATTTGAAGGGTGTGAAGTAGGACCAACCCAACCCTGCACCCCTGGGCACATCATTCGACCCCAACACTTCTGGATTCTGGATGGGTTCGCACCAATGACTTCCATTTGCTGAGATGAATGCATTTTTCTCCCTTGTCGGTTTTAAAGAGAATCTATCACTATTTCCATTGTTCCCAGTATGACAATGGAAGATGACCATGGTCTTTTACACGCCACCGCTTAGCTTGGGCAAAGTGCCTGAAGGGCAGTTCTTGCCCATTCCGAGAGACATGCGTGCGAGCAGCGGGGCTCGAAAGATCTGCGAGGGGATGCCAAATTTTTGGGATCGGTGACCCCTGCTTCCTTCTTCCCTTGCTCTTCTGCGGAGGCCTTTGGCTTCTCGCCCTGTCGGGGGAGCTTTGGATATCGATTTGTCCTATGGAGCGCGGCACAGGTCATGTCCAAGCGCGAAATGCTGGGTAATTCCCCTCCCACAAATCAACATGGAGCCTGACAGGAGTCCCTTTAAAAGGAAAGCGGCCTTCCAGAGGACGGCCCGGAACGTCAGGTCCCATGTTAATTGGTGGGGGCACCCTGCCTTCAACCACGTGGATCGGCTCCCTCAGCCCCCAGAAGCGTGAACCCGCAGAGCAGCATGAGGCTCCAGAGCGCGAGTTGCTCTACGCAAAGGAGTACACAGTATATCTTTGTTGGGGTGTTGCGTGTCTGTTTCTTGACTCTTTTCTTTTTGATGTCGTGTTTCTTAAACCGCGCCTGCAGGCTTCATCTCTTTCGCTTTTCCATTTTGGGTCCCTAGTCAAGGGCCCAAAGGTGATCGCTTCACATCCCGCATTTTGGAAACACAGTTGGGCACCGGCTTGTGGCTTTCAGTTCGGTCAGTCATCTCCTTTGGCTTTAGCAGGGTGAGTGCGGGGATTAGCGCCGCCTGGGGAGCCGGGGGACGGGGGGGAGGGGTGGTGGCAGTGAGCAAATGAGGGGGTGGGGGCCTTTTTTTTACTTATCATCGTTCCGGGGAGAACGGACCGTGGCAGCTCGCTCAGCTCACTCACCTCCGACTTCCCCCGCCCACTTTCCAAATATCAAGGGGGTGTGCCCAGGGTGGATTTCAACTCGCGCGAATCGAGCCGTACCTCTGCGAACCTGAAGGGTCGCTGGATTTCCACCAAAGTTGATCGACTTTTCCGGGTGTTTGCCATTGAGCCGATGGATTTTTCGACTTTTGGAACTTTTGGAAATGGAGCAATGGCTGCTCAAGGGTAGCAACTCAGGTCAAAGCTGACCGGAACAATCGAGCTGTTGGTTCCCCCTTTTGTGGGTTCCCATTTTTAGTTGTGGCAACCCAAAAGGTGATCACAGTGTCAAGGGTGCAATCCTGGACCTGTTTTACGCTATTTGGGGTCTATGCTGGTGTAATGTATTTCTGGGTCCCATCAATCAACTCAGTTCAGAGCTGACCACATCAATCCACCTTTTGGTTTCCATTTTTAGTCGTGGCAACCCAAAAGGTGATACTCGGGCCAAAAAGTGAGCACCATTTTTATTATTTTCGGGGTCCCATCCGGGGCAACTGAGTCAACATGTGTGCTCGCTCCGGTAAGGTCCTGGCGCCGGGGCCTCTTGTACCTGGCCTTCTCCTGTGTGGCCACCTCCCTCGCGTGGCGCTTGGGTGCTTGGGTCCTGGGAGTTCCTTTGCATTTCACTCCAAACGCACCAAACAACCAGGGCGTGCTTCTCCTTTTTTCGGATTGGGTTGGATTTGGATTTGAGCCCCGGGTCCTTGTGGAGGGTGAATAGGAAGCCCCCCCTTCACACCAATCCTTGGCGCCATGCTGTGCAGAACGCACGGCGAACGGGGATGGAAGTGAAGCGACAGGGTTGGATCCTTTATCTTGACGCGGTCGCCGAGGTCTTCCTGGTTTGGGAGGTGGTCGAGGCCGAAGCTACCGTTGGGCATGTAATTGCTCCCCAGGTGAAAGTCAACTCCTTATCATACCGAAATGGTCTAGCCAAAGTCATGTAAAGAATTCGGATGTCCGCACCTTTCTTTTTGCTGGCTGGGACTGTTCCTTCCTATTCATTCCTTTTGGGAGTCTCTTGGCTTTCTTCCGTTCGGACGGCAAAGTGAACACAAGTGGCAAACGTCAACGTCAACCTCTGGGGAGCCTGTCACTTTGCCAGGTCTTCCGGACGAGTCGGGAGAAGGACGCCGGGGGGGTTCGGTGCCGCCGTTTTCGAGTTGGGGGGAGGGGGGGGAGGGGGGGAGGACTAAGAAACGCATTTTTCGGTGTAACTTTGACCACCCCCCACCCCAGAAGGGTTCGGGGTAGGGCTCGACTTTCCAAGAGTCATGGAACTGGACGGGATGCTTCCCTACCAAGGTCCTTTTCCAACACCTGTCAGCCTTTCCACATGTATTGCTTTGTCATCCCCAAGGGTCAGGTAACCGTAGGGAACCCCTAGTTGGTGATTTGGATTGGTGGTTCGGTAGAATGAAGGGTCAATACTGCTGAACCACCCCCCAAAACACGCTGCTCGAGTTTTTTCGCCCCGGAATCGCCTCGGGATCGCCCGATCTCAGGACTTCTTCTCTGGAACCCGAGGGCGCTGCCGTCAGCTTTTTTCTTCTTCGTCTGTTTTTTTTCCCCCTTCCTCCGGGCCACCTGGTCACTGCCGAAATGAATGGGGGGGAATTCAACAGGGCTCCTTGCAAGAAACATTTTGCCCAATTGAAACATGGCTTTTTCCACGAATATAAAGGGAAACCACCATTTACAAGACAATGTTCAGGTGTATAATGTAAGGATCCCCGTTCAATGGGAGTAGCTAGCTGGTGTTGGTCTTATTTTCCTTTTTTGGATTTAAAGGGAATCGATGTCTCTGCTGGAATTAGACGGTTAAGTCCCCTTTTTCTTTGGTGGCTTTGACTCAAAAAGGTCCTGGCCCCAACAAAAGTTGACACTTGGAATTTCCAGGTTGTCAGGGATTCGGGTTTGTCTCCAGGTTGGACCATCGGTTATGTTTGTGTGGGCTCGGATATGCCACGGGGGCTTGAAAAAGAGGGTGATCATCTTCTGAAGCCCTGCTAGACCATCCAAAGCCAGAGGGACGAGTTTTTGCCAAGTTGATTCATCCGCCGACACTGGGGATCGATCATGTTTCTTCCATAAAGTGCGCGACAGATTGAGCATCAATTTCGTTCTGCCACCTTACAGAATTCCTGGTAGCTCCTGAACCGCCCCCTTTCAGAATCAATTGGGAAATTGGGAACAACTCTCTTGGAGCCCCGGAGCCCAGCAGCCCGGACCGGCCATTTGTTTCCCCATGCGGCGGGTGACGTTCATTCTTCCAAAATTTGGTGGACTATATGTCAGGCAAGCCCTATATAATTGGTGGTTTGGAGTCTTGACTGGAGGATTTGAACCCCTTCTTGTAGAGGTGAGCTGGGGAACCACCCCCTCCCAACCTCCAAACTACTTAGAGGGAAGCTGAACATTGGGGGTGTATATTTTGGTAGGTATCCATCTTGAGGATAGTCCCACCGTTTTGGGACCTATTTGCCCAGACAGCTGGGTTAGAAGAAATCCAAGTGGGAGCCAGGTGCTGCGGCCTGGTGGTGGCGTTGTCTGTGGGCCTCCGCCACGTGGGGGGTCCAAGCTTCGGGCTGGAGTGCAGGCTTGAGGTGATGGCTGAGGTGATGGTTGAGATTGTTGCTTGGGTTGGTTTGATGGTTGCTTCGTTTGAGGTGAGGGTTGGTGAGGGCTCTTTCGGGGGGCGGTGCAGGAACTAGCTGGTGGTTGGAAGGGAGCCAAGGAGCTGGGGCTCTCCAAATTTAGCTTTTGAATAGTGAGCTAGGGAGCTACCAGGGGTTCTGTAAGGACATGGCAGGAGACGTCGCTCGATTTTGTTTTTTTTAACCCCCCAGCCCCTTAGTTGCTCCCAAGGCCGGTTTCCCGCATCTTTAGAGGGCCGTTGTGAGTTGCGTGGAGATCATTGTTCAGCTTCCATCGAAAAGGGTCGGTTTGGAGCCCGGTTTGGTGGTTTGGAGGTTCCCATTTGCCCACAAGAGCCAGGGGTTCAAATCCTGCTAGGGGTTACCTGAGTTGTGCCTAGCCAAGCACCCCGTGCAGCTGGGACCTTTGGATTTGCGCGTGCCTGAGGCTTACCCGCTGGAGGCTTGTTGCGGGGGGGGGGGGGTTTGAGTTTGGGGTTTGGGCCCAAGAGCAATTTTTATTCCCCAAGGTGCACAAAGCTCCCTTGAAGCAGGAAAGTTCCAGAGATGGACCCACAAAGTGGTGGGTTCTCGTTCGGCTTCCCCTGTCCAATTGCAGCAAGCGGAGCCTCCCATGAAATCTGCCACAAAAGGTTGGGTGCCGTGATTTGCTCCACTGGAGCTGGCAGACTTCTCTGCACCCTGTCGATCAGGTTGTTCATGCGGTGAAAGCGGCTTCGACCAGGGTTCCTTTGCGCGCAGAAACCTGGCCGTGTTTACTTAATGTTCACTGGGTGTCCATCATTGTCCCTAACGAGAAAAAGACAACTTTTTGCAGGGGGGGGTCTCAGTCTGGCCTGGTTGGTCTAGTGTTTTGATCCCTGTTGTATTTGCTTTTTGGTGGGCGCTGCTGCCTCCACTCCCGCAATATCCTCGGCAACACGGCCGTGGCAAGGAAGTCTCCATACTGTGAATGGATGAAATCCCGCACCACCTAAGAAGCCCTGAAATGAGGTACCAGCAAACAATGGTTTCCCATGAGCATTCGTTGGTGCGAAATGGATTTCGTCCACAGCATGCCTAGAAAGAGTGGCTGGCATGCTTCACGATTCGTTGGGGACCTTTGGGAGGCAGGGAGAGGACCAACTCTCACTTGTCCGAAGCGAATCGACCTTGCGACCTTTTAGTTTCCCCCTTTTTGGTCCATTTTCCTTTTCATGGCAACCCAAAAGCTGATCACCTTGTATTTCTGGGTCCCTCCCTGAGGGCCAACCACTAGGTACCCCGAACCCAAACCCGAACCCGACCCCCCCCCCAAGAAAAAGAAAGAAAGGAGAAGAAGCCCGAATTCGATGTCCACTCTTTGGGTCCATTCTTGAAGCATGGTTCTGGGACGCCCATTTTAATACAAAAGGCTTTGAGCAAGTGACTCACCCGAACCCGATGCACACTCTTTGAGTCCAACTGAGAACTGGAAGGACCAACAAAACCAGAAACGAAAGAAACCTAGCGGATGGGTGCCTTTCTGGGCCAACTTGGTGTGGGGCAAAATCCGGCCACCAGGTTTTGCAGGTTTTAGCCTTCTTTCCCTCCACCAGGGCAAGCCATTTCGGCTACAACTTTTTTGATCACCCAACCGAAAGGAACCGAAAGGACCCAACGGATCTGCCAGGCGCTTCCCTTCGTGCCCAAGGCCTGGGGCCTGCAGTGCCCCTTGGCCGCACGATGCCGACGGAAGATGGCCGGCCGGGCGGAGGACGACCGGACGGCGGAGGAGGGCGGCGGCCCGAAAGCCGTTTTTTTTTTTTTTGGTTTGTTGGTTGGGGGGGGGGGGTACCCATGGCTTGCCTCTGTTTTTTTTTTTTTTTTTTCAAGGCGAGCTTTCTTGAGGTGCTGTGGAAAGAGCAAGGGGAGTCTGGCAAGGGGTTCTTGGAAAGAGACGATTCGGCCCTTGCCCCACGTAATGAGTTCAACTTTTTTCTCTGTTTTTTTGGAGTGTTCGCTGCCAGGTGAGTTAGTCATTTGCCAAGTTGGGGAACCCTGCGAGGAGGTTGAACACTTGGGCTCCCCTACTAACTTGACAGAAGACCCAAGTAGCTCTGCGGGATGGAGACTTTTGGTTGCCCGTGGCGACCGGTCACGAGTCTGGGCCATACCTAGGAGGGCCAAAAATGTCTCTTGCACCCGGCCAACGGCAAGCACCACAGCAGAGGCGTCAGGACAGCACCCTGGTTTATACAAGTTTCCATTTGGCTGCATCTTCCACCGGAAGCCGACATCATCATCTCAAAGTTCGTTTCAGGTGCATGGTTTTGTTAAAGGGAGCTTCCTCTCAGAGAGACTTGGAGGTCCATCTTGCTAAAGCTTGTGCGGCAAAGAGCCTTTGGCTGGGCGATCGGGTGTGGACGTCCCGATCCTTTGGGGGCAGGTTGCGGCCCACTGGATCCGTGAAAATAGTTTGAGTTTTACCAGTGCTTTGTGCGGGTTTCTTTGGGAATGCAAGAAAGGCGCTTCCTGCAATGAATGTACTGAAGCTTATCATTGCACTGTACATTGGATGGATCTGCGAAGCGATTGGGGACAGGATGTCCGGACAAATCCCCCCCAAGGGTTCATTGGGGAAGGTCCGTTTTCAAGATGCCGGGGTGGGCTGGTGGGCACCATCTGCTTTGTTAAGCAAATCCCCAGAAGATCTCACATTACGACCCCTTGCGGTCGTTCTTCGCTCAGGCCAGCATCTCCCTTTCTGCCTCGCCGCTCGCCAGCATTTCGAAGGGAGCCACCGAAGCCTTTAGGCTGGAAACCATGAGCTGGACTGGGTTTGAACCCCTGGCTTTTTAGTGGGTAAATGGGAAACCATGCCTATCCTCCAAACCACCCCTCAAAACCGCTAATTAGAGGGATGCTGATCTCGGGCCGAGCAGACATGGCAGCCCATGGGGCGAACGCAATGGCAGTTGGCAAGCACACGGACGTTTCAAGGCCCTGGAAGACCAATTTTCTTTACAATGGACTCTCTGGTGGGTTCCATGTTAGCGGACAGGACGGTAAAACCACTCTTGGAGGCCTTCAACTTTCAGCCACTAGCCAGCACACGTTGCTCTTCCCTTGGGTCTTTCACCAACCTCGTGGTCAATGTGTGTTGACGTCGTTGGTATTTTGGCGTGTCCCAAAAAACAAGAAGATGGTGCCACTCAGAACCCGTCAGTCAGCTTCCCAGGGAGGATCCCACAGTCTTCCTGAGTCGGGTTCCATGTTTGACGGGAGGCGACCCTCCAAAAAGATCCGCCCGTCGGACTGAGAAAGAAAACTCGCGCCTAGGCGCTGCTCTGTACGCTGCTGGGGCTCGGGCGCCCAAGCAAGGGAAATGGGGATATGGCGTGCCCTCAGTTCCTGGGTTCATGGCATGTGGCTGTGGGTCAAAACCAATGGGATCCCATTTTGGGGTAGGTGCACTGCCCCATTTTAGAACCTATTTTAGTGGAAATTGGGATGTTCACTGGGGGTACGATTTGGATTTTGACCCATGGCATGTAGCAGTTGTGTCCCAGTTGCCAGGGCTCTGAAGCTTGCATTCTTGGTCCGAAGGAGGTTCCTGGACTTACAACCTTTTTGAGAAGACCACTTTAGTGGCATGCAAAGAGTTGGGTTACTTTTTTGGGCAAACCCACTCGGGAAGGGAGCCTTAGGAAAACCTCTAGTCGGCTACGCTTACGGTAAGCGCGTACGCATATTGTGGATTGTTATACGTGAATCAGTACGCGTGTCCTACCTGAGTCACTGAGCGCCGCATAAAGGAGTTACCTGCACGCGCGCAAAACATCCACACGCTCAGTAATTCTGAGATGGTCCCAGTCAACAGTTTGGTGCGCAGCCCCTTTGCAGCGCAGAACTTCTTTTTGTGGGAAAGCGGGCCTTTGCACCACACCATGTTTGTTAGAAAAAGGGTACCCCCCAAACCACTACTGCGAGCCAGTGGGATATACAACTATATAGCCACTACATATGAAGGTTTTATACCCAATTAGCTTTTCCATGGGTTCCAGTAGTTTTTTTTCCTTTTTTTTTTTTCTCGGGGTGGAAAACCTTTCTGTTGCTGGCCAGTTCTCACGTTTTTGTTTTGCTGCTTGTTGTTCATTCTTAGTAGAGGGCTGCAAAAAGCAGTCCGTTTTTCAAGCCCATACCGTTTGGGTATCTTTGAGTCGTGAGCTTTTTCGTTGTACAGCCGCGTAAAAGGGGCGGGGCGCGCGGCGCTTCAGCCTGAGGCTGGGGAGCCTGCTGCCCGAGTGGCCCTATGCACCTTTGGCCTTCTTCTTTGCCCGGTGGCCAAAGGGAAGGGGAAGCATAGGTGTCCTTTTTGGTGGTTTTGCTTAAGAAATTGAAGGCCCTGGTTTGCATGGTGGTTCAATCATCTACCAGGGCCATTTGTTTTCCAAAAAGGACACCTATGAGGGGAAGGGGAGCTGCAGAAAGTTTTGCGGAAAACCGGTAGCTCCGAAAGAAAACGAAAAGAACAGCGGACCGACCCAGGCGCCAGGCGGGCCGTTTTTTGACCAGTCAGACCCCCAAAAGAACCAGTTGGCTGCCCGTTTGGGCCTGAAAATTCGTTCTTTGACTGCCAGTGTTCTTCTAAAGCTGAAAGCTATGGGGTCTTTGCCCAGGGCGTTGGAGTGGTATCTGGGCGACTGAGCCTGAAACCAAGCGGGCAAACACGTAACATGTTGGGTCTCTTCAGATCCAAATCTGGGTCTCTTCTTTAATGTACGTTGTTTGCCCCAAAATGACGATGAAACTTGGCTTGCTTTTGAAGCCCACCCAAAAGGGTCTTCCAGCACAAAGGCAGCCATACGGGTATGTGCCAAAATAAGGAGGTCCAAATAGTGTTTTGCTCAAGGGAACCAAAGAGCCTCAAGCCACCCCCCGTTTTTGGGTGCGTCTCGGGACCAACTGCCAACTCCTGGGTGGTTTCGTGTCGGTTTCCTCAAGCCATCCCCCCCAAAAACAAACAAACAAACAAACAAACAAACAAACAAACAAACAAACACGGGGTGCGGGGTCCCTCATGGAAGCTGGGACCCTGCTGTTACGTTTCCGAGGCCTGGTTTTACCTGCGCTACCTGATGTGGTGCTTGGGAGGGAGCCGGTTCGGCGGGTGGAGTCATAAGCGGTGGTGTCATGTCTAGATTTGGTACGGTTGGATTTTTTCAATATCAGGTAAGCCTTACTTGGGCGTTTGGGTTGGTGGCTTGGATTGGATTCGAACCCCTGGCTCTTGTTGATGGTAGATGGGAGGCCACCCCCGCAAGACCCAGGGAGCCTTGCGTCGATGTCACCCAATGCCACCCATCCTCTCGTGTGGTGGCGCGAAAAATGCCTCAAGATCCTTTTGGGCAAGAGGGGGAAAATCATCCGTTCATTTATTTGTTTATTTGCTTATTGGTTTGTTTGTTTATTTATTTGATCTGTCTATCTATCTATCTATCTATCTATTTATCTATCTATCTACATGTTCTGCTGATTTGTTCGAATATTTATGTTTCTTAGTGTTGAAGTGTGCGTTTGTGTGTGCAAAGGGCTCTACACCCAAGATGCCCAAGCAATGTCGCCCTTCAAAATCCAACCCTAGATGTCCTTAGAAAAATGAACTAAATGAGATGTAGAACCGAACTAACACCAGCGCCAATGTTCACCCACTCTGACCAGGGCATGATTTCAATTAGGGACCCGAAATGGTGGACATTATGCAATTCGGTGGGAATTGAAGAAAAACAACATGGGTGTCCCTGAAAGAACACCCATCCAAACCAGTGGAGCTCCCCCATCTATTTTGAGCTCCCCCGAATCATGTTTTGGTTCGAGGCTTGTTTTGGGCGGAAGCTGTGGGCTATGGTTATGGGCGTTTCTGAGGAGAAGGAAGCCAATGGGGAGGCTTCGGCTGACGATACGTCAACAGGTTTTTGGCTGTGCGACCGCTTCAGACCAACCATGTTCAAGGGTTCGTTTCTTTGGGTCTACGGTTGCCTATATATATATACATATACATATATTTATAATAATGCACCAGTTCGACCAGATGACATGTGGGCGTTGATCAAAAAGACTTTCACCACTAAATGGGAAAAGTTACCCATGGTCATTGTGAGGCCACGGATATTGATCATCCCCCCGTGTCGGGGGGGGGGGGGGGGAAGCAGGTTGGAATCTCTCAGCGCCAACGCTGCGCGTGAGCAGATGCTGGCCAGGTTCTCGCATGCAAGGGCGTACGGCGACCACTCGCCCTGGGCTCATCTGGAATCCGGTTGCGGACATGTGGCCATGGGTCAAAATCCCGTACCGAAAAGTGAACATCCCAATCCCCACTAAAATAAGTTCGAAAATGGGTGGTACACCTACCCCAAAATGGTACCATTGGCTTTGACCCACAGCCATGTCGCGGAAACTAGGATTGTCCAGCGTCTCATCGGATACGGACACTTCTAGTGCTACCTTCCATTTCCATTCTTTCCAGGGGTCCTTCTTTCTAGCAAACCTCCGGGAACCCAGGGAAACGGCCGGTTTTCGAAAAGAACGATGGTTGGAAAGAATGGGGAATCAACCCTGATCCCAGATTCTGCGACCCTCGGATCTAAGTAGATCCCTAAACCCTATGAGGGTGTTCTTTTCAATCCTCCAAAGGTGATCCGGATTCCCACTAGAAGGGAACACCCCTACTCATACACCAGTTTTAATTACTTCGGGGTTAACACAAGTAGCCATGGCTGGATCGGAGTCAATCATGGTGTGACAGAGCCACTCCTTTCTTGGTTTTGGGGTTCGGAGAAGGGTGAGCAACTCGGTGTGTGTGGATGATACACAGTAGGTGAAGGTTCCAGAAGAAGCGAAGCAGGAAACGGATGGCTATTTGCTGCAAACCATTGAGCACATGAGCCAGTTGCTTTAATCAGGGTGGAGAGGAGCAAGCTCCTCTTTCCGTCATCCAGGTACGGAAGAGCAATTCTTCATTTCCATTTCAGTGCATGGCTGGTGCTTAGCAGCATGTGAAGGAAGCCACTTCTCAGATTGCGGCCTCAACCAATTGGAAGCACAACTCCACCGGGAGGACACAAGGTTTAGGCCTTGGGTGAATCCACTTTTTAAGCCTCAACCTTCCAGGATCCAGAAGTATGAAACCTGGCCAACATGGGCATTGCCGAAGTAAGGCCGGACTTCTTGTTCGCGCGGGCCCAAGGGTCAACTATTTGGGGCGTGGAGTGGAGGGGCGATAACGGGCCTGGCGGGCTCACGCAAGTCGATTTTGTGACAGCTTACTAGCAGCTACCCCCGGTTGTTTGGTGGCAATCTTGTTCCCACTGCAAATCGGAGTTTTTCAAAAAATCGGGATCCCCCGCAATCCTTTTTTGGTCTCCCTTTGCCTTCTGTCCAGAAAATCTACCAATTCGAGAAATTTCACGGGTAACCAGCTGCTGACGGAAGGATTTTCAGCAGAAACCTCCAAGGCAGTCATGGGCCTGGGCGGGGTGAAGGTTCCAGGATAGGATCCAACCCCCCTCCCCCTCACACCCCTCCCCCTCCAAAAAAAACACAGGAACGTTTGCGACACAATTTGGCTGCCGGGAGAAGCCAGCGGGAAAATCGGGTCTCGACGCTGTTGGGTGTCCTGCTAAGTTGCAGGGGGGTGGTGCTGAGTGGTTGGTCCCACCCGACTACTTACTACTCGATCACCTGGAAGGGGATCCCCCAAAGTATCACCTTGAAGGGGACACCAAGGGCAGACATGCAAGCGGCGAAATACCTAAAACTCGTTTTTTGTTTTGTTTTTTCCTTCTCCTTTTTTTTTTTTGTTTCTTCTTCTCCGGTTTTTCTTTTTTTGGTGAAACATGATTTTAGTCACGATCATAGTGGAATAAGGCGTGTAATCATCTAGTTTGGCGTGGCCGAATTTTTCCTTAGACCTTTTGGAAGCAATTTGTTTTTCCATTAAGCCCATACGAGCAACCTCGATTTAGCCCCTTAATGTTGGCCCCGGATGAATCAACATGAATCCGCCGAAGGCGTCGCGTCGCCCAACTAGGCGAACCTCTTCCCGCCCGCTCTGCGGCCGATCGCTGGTGCAGTGGGCGCCCGGCCGCCCATTACAGTTGAAGCACTCCGTGTAGCACCTGTTTTTGGGTGATTGTCAGAATGGCGCTCTTGCGTTTTGGTTTCCCTTTAGAACCGCCCAAAAAATGCTCCACCGTGTTGCGAAACACACATACGGGCTCAAAGGCAGCCATGTGAAGGGTGCTGTTTGAGAAGGTGGGTTCTTTGGTGCATTTTGCTTGGCTGTTAGGACTTTAACTTTTTGCCAACTAATGGGTTTTCCACTAAACCACTAAAAGATAAACTTTTAGCAGGGCTTCGCAGATTTCGCAACCGAGGGTTGTCAACCCCTGGCTGCGGATGGGTGGGGTGCAAATCAAAGGGACCCATGGAGCCACAGCCGCCATGTAATCACGAGCGAAGATGTTTCGGGGCCCAGCATGGCGGATCTGTGGCACCAGCTCTTTCAGACCTTCAGGAGATTCCACCATCTTTTTGGGGGTTCCAACCTGAAAAGAAGACGAGCCGCCCACATAGGTGTCCTTTTTAGTCTAGTTTGGTTTAAAAATAGAAGGCACTGGTTTGGATGGGTTGTATGCCCCATTTGCCAGGGCCATCTATTTTTCCAAAGGGACATCTATGGCCTTCCATCTTCCGGGCCGAGAAAGCCAAAACCCAAAACAATCCCCACCCTCTTAAATACGGAAGGGGGAAGACTAGATAACTGGAATTGGGTCCCGGACCCCCCCCCCCTTATGGTAGAGGGGATCCCAAAACCCGAGCCCGCCCCTCGGCCGGAAAAAAAGCGCATAGGTGTCCTTTTTGGTTGTTTTGCTAGAAAAATAAATGGCTTACTAGGCCCTCTTTTTCTTCCAAAAGGACACCTATGGCGCCGAGGCGCTCACGCACAACTTGGCGGCCGCCGCGGCGCCGGGGCTTCTGCGCCTCCGCAGCCCCGAGGCGAAGTGACGGCAACTTTCTTTGCTTGTTTTGTGGGGGGTGGGGTTCGGTCTGGCACGGCTGTGTATGTTTGAGTAGAAACATCGAGCCCAGTCAGAGTGTAGAGGGCTCTTTCAATTTTCTAGGGGGGGGTCGGGTGGGTTTTGTGGGTGGCTCGGGCCAACCACTTGTCACCCCCTAGTTTCCTCCAAATAAGACTGAGGTCGTATCTTGGAGGAAGCTGGGGGGGAGCGGGGTTTGGGGTAAGGGGGTGGGGTTTGGATCCTATGAACTTCCGGTTCTTTGGCGTTGCGCTGAGGATGATGCCGAGCGGGCGGAGGCAAGCGGGGAGACAGGAGGGTTGGTTGGAAGGGAGCCGGGCAGACCACCAGTGCCATAGGCGTCCTTTTTGGTTGCTTTGCTGAAGAAATGGAAGGCCCTGGTTTACCTGGTGGTTCAATCATCTACCAGGGCCATCTATTCTCCAAAAAGGACATCTATGACCAGCACCCTTTTCCCTTTGGCTGGAGGCCTTCGAAATGTACTCTTTTTGACATGACCGGTGGAGGTTCGGGTGGGAATTCATATGGTTGCCGCGTGGACGGCTTTGGCAAAAAGGTTGCCAGTGGCATTGCCTTCTGGCAGCCAGCAAGGCACAAGTGCTGCTGCTGTTGGAAAGCCTTCCCTTGCAGTTTGCGGCGAAGCCATTTTTTGCAGGACGCTGGTGGTTGTTCAAGGTAATGTTTACTAAACTCGTCCCAGCAATAGGGGGTGTTCTCTCCAAAAGTGATGATTCCCCAACTAAACCCGGGGACACTTCCCCATGAAGCAGGGGTTGATTCATGCGGGGTCGGTTTAAAGGGGAACTAAATCAATCGCTGGTGTTTGAGAAGTTCCTCATGGAGGTTCATCGCAACTCGCACCCCGGGGCCTGAAGTTGCGAGCTGCGAGAGGCAGGTGGTGGATGCCAACTAAAGGAGCGAGGAAACCATCTAGTCTGGCCTTAAAGCTGGGTTCAGTGGTTGACACCAGCTGCTTTTTCGCGATTTACCATGGGCTTGTGGTTGAGTATATTTGATTGGAGAATGGGTTGGTTCGCCTTGGTTTTCCTCCTTGGGTTTTTTTGGCTTCCGTCGGTTTTCCCTTTCAACCAGAATCCTGAAAAGAGCGCCTCGGCCCGCGTTTTCGTCTGAGGCCATTGTCTACGACCCCAGCCGAATGGTGGATGGCGCAGTGCCGCGGGCTCAGAGCAAACGGGTACCGCGTACTTCAGGCGACCCTGAATGGGTGGCTATCCGCGGGGTGTGTGTCTACTTTGGCATTGCCAGGTTGCTCACGTGTTTAGGCGTGTTCAGTTTCTCGAGCTCCTTTCTTTAATGGGCGTTTTTGTTTTTTGGTTGTGCTTTGACCTGAACCCCAGTTCCTTTTGAAGCCAAGTTAGAGGCGGCCCCCCAAACCCCTAAATCACAGAACCGCAGAAGCCCGGCCCCTTGGCTCAGAAAAGTGTAAGGAGAGAGGGGCTTGGATTTGCGGCTTGGACGGCTTGGATTTGTGACGTCTGTGAAATGGAATCCACGAACCGCGATACAACAAGGCAAGGGCCTAACCCCAAGACTAACCCTCCCCATAAGGGGAGATTCCCGAAGACAGCCGAAGACATCATGGTTGGATAAACAACGAGAGATCGTACAACCATGCTCAGAAGAGCGCAAGGAGAACTAGGTCCCCCAGTAGCGCTCTTTCACCCTTTTTTGGCGTTCCCTACTAAAATAGTCAAAGAAGAAACAAAACATCGGGTACCAACTTATTCCAACCTCTCAAATCTGGAGGACCTAGTTCCACTTGCTGAAGCGAACAGGTTTTTTCTTCCCCTGGTGGTGAAGGGAATCCTCGCTGATACGTTCAATCCCTCGGGTTACCATCCGCTTTTGGTCCCCTGAACCGGATCTGCGCTTTGAACGACGCTCCGATCCCAGGCTCTGGAACTCCGCGGGGGCCATGAGCGCGGGGCCAACTGAGCGCTTGACACGGGGCCTCTGGGAAAACGGAGCTCGCCGGAGCGCTTGACACCAACCGGGCTTTTTGTTTGAGAAACGCCCAACGGGATTTTTTGGACATGTTGCTGGCTCCCAGCCATTTAGTCTTTTAGGCTTTTGGATTTTTAGTGTTTAGTGGAGTTTCCGAATTTAACCCACTAAAAGTTAAACTTTTAGCGGGGGATCTGAGGGAGCCCAGACATGTGAGGGTTTGGCCCCAACCAAGGTCCGGGAAACCTTGGGGGAGTGGTTACTCCCTAGTTGCTTGTACCAACTTTACATAGGCATCCTTATGTGGCATAGGAGCGTCCTTATGCGGCGCAAGCTTTACATGTGCGCCTGAGTCGGCCATGAAGGATCACCAACCCGCTAAAGCATGTGCTGCGATGTTCGGGGATCGGTGGTTTAGTTGACACAGCGCAGGCGCACTTCTCCTCTGCTTCCCGTTCAGTTGCCAACAAAGCAGCAGGCACCATGGCAGGGGTTGAAACTAGAAACACATTGACCCCACCCGTTGACCTTGCCTTGGGTGTACATTTCGCCCGTGAAGCTGACTTGGGTTGACGAGCTCATCCATGAAGGCTCCTTAGTTCCTTGTTGGGGAACCCTTATTTCCTATTTGTGACATGTACTAACTGGCCTGGACATGCGGCCTGTCTTTTTGGAGCCTTTTTTTGACACCCATGTGTCAGGCAACCCCTTGCTGAGTTCGTGGTTTGGATTGGGGGCTTGGGCCCCCCAAATCTCCAACAACCAACCTTCAAAATACCTTTTGAGCATACCCCAATCATAAGGCTCAAAAGGTACTGTGGATGGACGAAATCCTTTCGCACCCCCCAACAAACCCTGGTTTCTGATGACTTCTGTGTAAATACTGCGGATGGCAGCAATTTTGCACCACTTAGAAACCATGGTTGAAGCCATTGCTGGTTGGTATTTAATCCCAAGTTCAGGGCTTCTTTTTCGCTGGTGCGAAATGGATTTCGTCCACCCAAAGTACCACCAAGCAACGGGTTCAACCGTTTCTTGGGCGGTGAGCCGGTCGCCGAGGCCTAGCCCATGCGAGTTCTTCTTCCCCTTGGCCCTCGCCGCTTTTCCCCGCACAGCCTGGGGCCTTGGGGCTCCTCAATTTACCCTTTTTCGGACCTCCCAAAGTGGCGATTTTGTTGGAACACGCCGGTAAATCGGAAGGTGAAATCCAGCAACCCCAGAAAGCAGGCCGCCTGGTTGGTTTTCGTGGGGGATCCCGTTCTAGGGAACACCCCCCTAATGAAACTCTAGCCACTTGTGGGAAGAGCCCCTTTGTAAAACGGGGTACCTCCTGGGATTCTCGAAAAATCCGCCCAGCCCAAGAGCCCCAGTGACCGGGCTCTGCCTCACCACTTCAACCCCATTCACGTGAAGGAGGCCTTTTTTTGGAGCCGGGTTGTGTTTTTGTGTCGTTTTTTGGTTGGTTTTTTTAGGAACACATTTTTGTTCCCTTTTTCTTCGTGTTTCTTGTTAGTTGGGGGGGACCTAAAGAAGGACAAAATCTCAGCCAAACATGGGACCCCCACCGACTTCCCAGGTCCGGCGAGGTCTTGCCTGGCGCTCCCGGCTCCAAGGCGCGGGCTAGTCACCCCCCTCTAACAAGACACGCTTGGCGTCTCAAGGGCAAATGAACTTGACTGCTTTTTTTTAAAATTAAACAAAAAAAACAGACTTTAACTTTTGGTTGAAATAAAGGGGTTTTCCACTAAACCCCCCCAAAAAGTGAAAACCACTTTTTGCAGGGGGGTCTCGCCGGCAACCCAGTGAATGGCTTCCTGGAAGCCCCAGGTCCCGATGTGATACATGCTGCAATATTTTTTTCGGAACGGCCGAAAAGCGGAAGGAAGCGAAGGTTCCCTAAAACCAAAATCGCTGAACAGTATGGAAGGAGCTTCAGTTTTTGTTTGTTAAATATTGTTTGATTTTGTTGATGTGAAGTGGTGGGTGGAGTGAGAAGACATTCTCTTTACATACTGCTCCCAAAGTATGCTTCTTCCGCTTTTGTTCTTTTTCAATGTTGGGTTATTGTGGTGGTTCTGCTCATGTACTAGAGATTAAAATTACATTTCTTTCACGCTTGGCAGCCCCAGCCGTAGAAAGGACGAACCCTATGGGGGAGTTATGGGAACATTCTGCATGTGTTTTGATGAGATCCTTCTTGACTTATCTATTCGGTGGGGGTTTCTTCCCACATCTGACTTGCGGGAGCTTTCGGACACCTCTCCCCTGCATTTTTGATGGTTTCCTGAAAAGAAGGAGCCCTGGAAAGAATGGGGAAGGTACCCCTAGAAGAGCCTGTGATTGAATTGGTGTACCGGAGCCGGGGGGTTGAGGCAGCTTCCCTCTGAGTGGTTTGGAGGTGTTCCGGGGTTTGAAATGTTTGCCTCAGGAAAGGGGTGAAATCGCGAAGCAACCACTGCAAAAAAAAAGATTTGGTTTGGGTTGCCTGCAAATGCGGAGCCCCAAACTACGTGGGGTGGAATTGAAAGTCAGAATGGCAAGGTCAAAATGGGGTGCCCCAAAGTGACTTTCTCAACTACAAAGCGCGGTGGATGCCGATTCCGTTCGCCATATTGCAAGTAAACCAGCCACGGCTTTCCACCAAGCCGATGGTTTAAACTACCTGGTAACTTTGGAGGTGTTCCAACTTGTTCCCCTTGCAAAATTTGGGCCTGTCTTTTTTTAGGCTTCGGACCCCCCCCCCCCTCTTTTAAAAAAAGAAGAAGAAGCAAAGAGCACGTTTTCCTCTTGGTGTCCTTCTTTTTCCCACCGAACCTTTCCAGCCTGAACGGCTCAGAGGACGAGCCACGGCTCGTACGACGTACGAGCCAGCCACGGCCAGCTCGTTGGCTCGCCACGGCTCGCCACAGCGCGCGGCCAGGAATACGACGCCCGGAGGGCCAAGGCCCTGAAGCTCTTGGACGAGTCCATCAGCTCCATGCTAGTGCCGGGCGCTCAGCTCCCAGCTCCGCTCAGCTCCCTGGGTGGTGGGAGGCTCCGCTCAGCTCTCTGGGTGGTGGGGGTGGTGGGGGTGATTGGGTAGGTGTTGGAAGATCAATCTTCTTGTGGTTGTTTTTGCCTATTCTCACTCATGTTGAATGTCGTCCAATTCTCGAAGAGTCAGTTTTTCGGGGGGGGGGGGGAGTCCGGACAGTTTTTCGGGCCTAACTATTTTCAGGGCTTTTGGTTTTGGTAAGGCGTCGGTTTTCCCCCCGCCTAAGCTGCTGGCGTCGCTTCTGCGGTGCGAGCACTGAGGCCCAAAGGCGCGCGGCCCGATCCTGCGCCGGAGTCTGCAGGTGCGCCCTGGGGAATTCTTCCGGAGATTTCTAGACAGCACGTCCAATTTCCATCAATTTCCATGATTATCGTTGCAGAAGAATTCTGGTACAAGAATTAAAGAAAAAGTGAGATAAAGAGAGATAAGAGAAGACACAGTTATCTCTTTACCTCTTCACACCATGAAGAATCTCAACTTTTATCTCCTTCATTTTTTTAATATTACCACCCACATGAAGAGAATACCCTGGCATCCGGTTAAGGAAAAGCGAGCAAAGGTGGGGTGGGTGCAAGATGGGGGGCCGTGGCGCAATGACAGCGTGCCTGCGCCTTCAAACGCGGGAGGGGTTCAAATCCTGCGGGTCCTGTTCTTCCTATTCCCTCCTTTCGCTGGCGCATGTTGCCTTGAAGGGAAACTCCAATGCAAGTAGGGCCCTGCAAAATGAGTTGCCGGTAAGGCTTTTTTGGTATCGAAGAATATAAGTGCGTCACTGCATTTCTCCTTTCAAAGTTACAGTTGGGTGTGTCTTAGGCCCATACCAAACTGGCTGGGGTTCAATGCCACTTTTGGATGGAACTTGCCACCGGCCGAGACCCCAGCACGGCCCCTGATGCCAGGCACGCCGGAGGGAGGTTGCAAGAAAGGGGTCCAGGGTGGGGGAAGCGAAAGATCAAAATGCGGTGAGCTCGTGTTGAAATCTGCGTTTCTCAAAATAGTTCAGTTCAAAATCGTGAGCCACCAAATATGGGGGTGTGTCTGTTGGTTTAAATGTAAATGTCCGTTTGAAGCTGAGAGGATGGGGTTGGAAGCATTCATTCTTTTCCCCCCCATTGAGCGCACCAAGGCAACCAAAGCAAATCGACCTTTTGATCAATCGCCCTTGTTTCTCGTTGGGTTGTGCTTAATGGTCCCAAATGGACGCAATCTAAGAAATTTCTGCATGGGAGCCGTTTGGTCTCCAACTTCCGCTTCTCAAAAAGCTTTTATTTTCCCCCTGAGCCGAGCGGAGTTCTGGTTGACATTTTGTTGACAGCTCTGGTTGAGAATGCTCGGATTGGTGGAACGTTGAAAGTACCAACCCGACGCGGGGTTGAGGCACGGGGTTCAGGCACGGGGGGGTGCCACCCATCGCAGCTGGATGCACAGCGGATCAGATTCTGCAGCCTTTGGCCCGAGATTCGGGAAACGCTGGAAACGCTGCGAGCACTCTCGCCGAGACTTTTGACATGGAAAGAAAGGGATCCCCCCCCCACCCGCCCCGTCAAAAACACATCCAAACAATGTGAGACCGGAGTCTCTTTGCCCGGGTCGCTGTCCTTCTTCAGAAGGGTCGAAAGGCAAAACCCGCCCTCGCGTGTGTTTTTAGAGTTGGGGCCAAAGGATGTCGTGGCTTTCCTGGTGTCCCCCGTCTTCAAAGCAAATTTGGTGTTGGGGTCCACTTCTGCACTAACACGATAGTTTTGGCAACTCCGAGGCGAACCCGCTGCAACTCAACGGTGTGCAGATAGATTCCCCTTGTGTGAAAGTAGATGTCGTGGTCATCGTAGCCGACCCTTTGCCGGGCATGGTTCGGATGGGCCTGGCGCCCAAGAGGTTGGTGCGGTGTGCTCCGCCCGGTTTTAAAGGAGTCCATGCTGGTTGGCAGGGAGCCCTTCCGGAGCCGGATGCTACTAAGAGTTCTGGTGACATGGTAGCCATGGAGACAACATATGGGTGTGGGTCCAAATTAAACCACCAAGATATGGACGGCAGGTTGTAGTCCATTTTCCATTTACCAGGTCAAGCCATTTTGGGTACCTATTTTTTTGACCCGTACCCATATTTTGGATGTGCCTGAAGCGGGGGCTGCACAAATTTCTGCGGCGGCAACCTGAAAGGATGCCCAGGCCAAGAATTCGGGAGAGTATCTTCACTGAACAAGAAGGCCAATGCAACTGAACGGATGCCCAGGCAAAGGATTCGGGAGAGTATCTCTGAAAAAGAAGGCCGATGCAACCGAACGGATGCGGCAAAGGATTCGGGAGAGTATCTTCGAAAAAGAAGGCCCCCCCGAGCGGCAATAGAAAAAGGAAACCGGTTTTTCCCCTCCGCTGGGCTGTCCCAGGCAGGTGGTCACCTCTGCAAAAAATCCGTGTGGCTCAAAATGAAACGAAGGAGGGGCAAACCGCAGGTTTTTTTTCAACCAGGGTTCCACTTGCCAGGGCGCTTGCCATTTTGGAGTTCCGGTTTTTTGAGCCACAGCCAAATCATGATCTTCCAACTTGCTTCCAAACTGAGCTTCACATGAGGGTAACCTTCCCCTAGGGCAAGGTTGAAGATCGCTTTCACGATGCAACCTGCTTTCAAGCAGTCAACCGACCAGCGCTCCGTAAATCAGCGTGTTCTGGGCACATTTTCTCGGGCATCCCCAAAACACGGGAGCCTCGGATTCGGGCCGCGAATCCGCGCATCCGCGCGGTGGACGCTCGGTCGCTCGAGCCATGCGGCACACACTGGCAGAGCTCATCGGCTTCGAGTCGAAGTCCTACAAGCACTGGGACCCCCACTTTGTGGCGCCTCGTCGAATCGAAGTAATCGAAGTCGGCCCAACCCGCGCGTCCCATAAAGGAGAGGGCGGGGTGACCGGGGTGGTCTTCTTTTGGCCGTTTTTGGGCCGTCGAAAGGGCCAGGCGGGATAAAACCACCTGCGGTTTTTCTTTCCTTCCTTCCTTCCTTCCTTCCTTCCTTCCTTCCTTCTACCCGTTCGAATCACCTCGACCCTCCGACGTGGGGAAACAGGGAGACAAAACACAACTCCAGACAAAGCTGCACTAAATCCCCCGCAGCAGCCAACCAGTGGTGCCAATCACCAATTTAGTCCATCCACTGCAACCCCGGATTCCAGAGTCACGGATGAAAAGGGGTGTTTACAAAGTGACGCTCCGCAATTCATCAATCAGGGTTTCTTAGCCCATCCGACCAAATCAGATCTGTCAGATCTGGCTTTTACTTCCTCAATCAATTCAATTGGCAGTGCGTTAGAAATTGGTCTCCAAAATGGATGAAACCAAGGACTAACACCTGCGGTCCCCCTGGTGGTTTGATTTTGAACCAACCTCAATGCTTCCATTTGCTGAACCGAATATAGGTTACTTTCCCTTCTTGGTCTTAAAGGGAATCTATCACTACTGGATTGTCTATTTTCTTCTTGGGGACTTAAGCAAATGGAGTCCCTTGGGCTGCGTTCCCTGACCCAGGTTGCCAGGAGGTCTATCAGGACATGGCAGACGTGCATTCCCAAGTCAAATCAGTTGGATTTTTGCCGGAAGTTTCATGTATTTTAACCACCTGGATCGCCCGTTGCTGTGTTTTTTTTCTTCTTTTTTTCTTCCATGCACTTTACCCCAAAAGACCAGCAACAGCCGAAAAGAGCGATCGCAACTTGGCTATCTAGGCAGCGGGTTGTAAAAGCAGCTGATTGGCCATCTTCGAGGATTCCACTGCCAGGTGGGCCTCAGCTGCTTCGGCTTCGCCCCGGGGGCGGCGGCCTTCTGGGCGGTGTTCCTCTGCCTGCGGGAGTCGGCGGACCCCAAGGCGGGAGGGGATTTTGGGGGGTGGGGGGTTTAGGGGGTGGGGGGTTTAGGGGGTGGGGGGTTTGGGGGCCGCGGGTTTGGGGGTGGGCCCTTGTCCCCCCCCCCCCCTTTTTTTAATGCAGCCCAAACTGCTTAAGCATTCTTACGTGCCGCCAACCTGCTCAAGGGCTTCCCGAAGAAAACACGTTTTTTTTCTTCAGTTGGGTCCGTGTTTTTTCAGTCCTCCCCTGTTACTTACCCACATCTACCAAGAATTGTGCCATCTGGTGTAATTACATGGGGCTCAATAGCTAAAATCGGGGGTTGGGGTTATTTTCGTTCCGTGTGAAAGCTCCAATTTTGGCTCCCAGCCTCGGTGCGATCCCTTTGTGCCGACCCCCGCAAACAAAGCACCCACAAACGAGGATCCGCCCTCACAAACAACTGTGGAGCCATTATTTTTTTGGCAGAATCCCCTTTCAGTGCTGTTTGGTCAACGGAGACCAGGAGAAAAACCGAAGCCATTGGGAGGGGGAGGGGGGGTGCTTCCGACTCCTTTTTGGGAAACACACGGCATTGTGCGGAGGACGGCGGCGTCCTCCTGCAGTTGGTCTTGTATCCCATCCTGGCGGTCCTCTACACCCTGGTGGTCGTTGCATTGCCGGGACTTAACTCGCCTTTGTATCCCCCAATAAGAATGGGGTTGGCCTTCCTTTTTTTTTTTTGAAGACAAAGGGGCCTAGCATCTTGCTTCTTGACCTTTGTTTTTATCGCCATTCCCTTTTTGCGGGTCGGATGAGTCAAGGTTGCCTCCTACTGCGCGGACTACCTCTTTATCAAACGCCTGCACCGCTCCTTCTATGGTGCCTCGGTTGACGGGAGCCAAGGAGCTGGGGCTATCCAAATTTGCTTTTGAATAGGGAGCTACCAAGAGTTCTGTTAAGGGCGTGGCAGTGGAGCAACTCACAAATTCGGGCAGATGCAGTTGGTTTGGGAAGGGCAGGTTCAATTCCCATGTCAATGTAGACCACCCACGGTGCGAGCCCAACGCCTTAACTCAAAAGAGTGGATCTTGGGAGGCTTTGCGGCCTGGGGTTTGCCTACCTGTGGGAACCCTGTCTGGGTCCTTTCTTGGATTCTTTAGCCTGAAAAAAAGGGCCCCCGCCCTGAAGGGCCCAGCTCGGCGCCGAGGAAGGGTCGATATCGCCCTGGCCTCCTGCACGTTCTTCCTGTCCATTTTCGACTTCTGGCTGCGGGCGACCATTTGGCACACCATGCTGCTCGCGCCTCGCCGAGCCCAACCCTTTCGCACCGGTTTTTTGGGGCGGCTTCGGGGGTGGCTGCTCCATGTGTCGTGCTTGTGAAGGCTGACTACTCTCTTGGGAATGGATGGGGGGCAGGTCTCAGTGGCCATTTGCATTCAGCCTGTTTTGCCGACCCGTGGCCCGACGCCCAGGTGTTCATTGCGTGCTCCGCCTTTGCGCCAGCCTGAGGTTTGGGACGTGGGGAGTGGGGAAGGGGGTGGGGTGTTTGGGGCTGCTTGAGGGCAGGCGCGTTCAACATGCGGTTGGGGCCTTAGAGCCAGTCCTTACCCAAAGTGCCACAGGAAGACCAAGGCAAAGGGCCTTTCACGCCAGCAGTTCAAACCTCCCATGTATTTTCCAATGTTTGTTTCCGGTCAGCGGCCCGCCACATGGGCGTGCGCCATTGGGGAACATTGCTGGCACCACCCAGACAAGTTGAGGTGTTCCTTCGGTTTTCCGGTTCTTTGCAACCTGTTCTTTTCAAAAACAAAGCAGGCCCGGCCGGCCGCTGTGTTTTGCAGCCAGAAAGAGGCCGGCCAGTGTCCGGCCAGGTGGTTTTCCCAAAGGTTTCCCTTTGAAGCCATCCAGCGAGTTCCTGACACAGACCCATTTGGCGTGCTTTTCGCGGCTAAGGTGTGGTCTGGGCAGTCCACCTCCTTTGAGAGTCTCAGCTGCCCAAGCTCCCTAGTTTGCGGCCTGGGGTTTAGAGAAAGAGAGCCTCCCGCGTGAGAAGAGATCACTTTCCATTTCCAGTTGCTTTGG